AGGCACCAGAGAAAAACACCTCTCCGGTCGCTACCTAAGGATTTCAGGATCCACATATGCTGATTTCCAATAATGAAATCTTTGCTATGATGAAGAGACTGGAACGACAAGTCACTCAACAGCAGGAGGATAACAGGACAATACTCAAGGAAGTGGAGAGAATGAGGGCAGAGATCCACAAGCCTCAAGAAGCAGCACCTTTGATCTTGCAGCCCAAGATCCTAAACTTTAACAACACGAGATCCTTAGCGAACCACCGCGAGATAGGATCCTCAATACCGACCTCTGTTCCCGCTCTGGGGTACAAGTCCAAGAGAGCAAGCCCATACGACTCAGGATCCCAGCGGAACCTTCGTTACTCCCAATAACAAGAATCATGGTAACTTCGTCAATAATAATATCTTTACTACTAACTCTATGGATGTTGATGTAGGAATGAGCTCGCACATGGCCAAAGAACTTCAACATCTACGATAGATGATCTCAAGTGTACCTGGAGTAGTCCAACTTATACCGGAAGTCTCCCAAACAAGTCACATGATCTCGAGATTCGCTCCTGCAATCGCTGACACTGAGGTCCCAAAACGCTTCCAAACTCCCAGCATGAAGCCTTATGACGGGACCACGGATCCTGAAGAACATTTGGCACAACACATGGAAAAAAATAGAGATCATCCTCATTCCCACACACTTGAAGGAAGCTTGCCTGTGTAAGGGTTTTGGTTCCACCCTCAAGGTTTCTATAATTGTATTAAATATTAATTTAATACTAAAACTCTTTAGCTTTTGGCACAATACATGGAAAAAATAGAGATCATCCCCATTCCTATACACTTGAAGGAAGCTTGCCTGTGTAAGGGTTTTGGTACCACCCTCAAGGTTTCTATAATTGTATTAAATATTAATTTAATACTAAAACTCTTTAGCTTTCAACTAATTAACTATTATAACTTAAGAGTTTTTGTAACTTATGGTATATTAATTGGTTAATTTAGAGTGTGTATATATATATATATATATATATATATATATATATATATATATA